GGAGAAAACAGGGCTCGCAGTATTGGTGGGCTTCACTATAGACGAGAAGGACCTGGGCCAGCTGGAGAAGAATCCTGAGAGAATGCTGGCAGCCTTGGTGAAGCAGAACAAGGTCGAGGTCAAGTTGAAGGACCTCACACCGGAGGAGAAGAAGCAGCTGCCTTTCGCCAAGGAGAACGAGATCAAGTCGTTCTTGAAGTATCGAGTCTGTGAAGCGGCCAGCCGTGCTGGCGTACATCCCGGAGCGCTAATGAAGATGCGCTGGGTCATCACCAAGAAAGAGACGGGCGACCTCAAGTCACGCCGGGTAGTTCTTGGTTACACGGATCCGAGCTTGGGGCAGATCAAGACGGCATCCCCTACGTGCAGCCGCAGAGCGCGCCAGATGTTCTTGGGAGTATCAGCGTCGATGGGATTTCAGGTGTTCAAGGGCGATGTGAAGGCCGCCTTTCTTCAAGGAGATCCGGGAGAAGAAGATCGGAACGTTCTCGCGGAACCCGTCAAAGAACTTCGAGAAGCCTTGCGACTTGAACATCATCAGTGCATCAAGCTGAAGAAGGCCGTCTACGGCCTGGTAAATGCTTCGAGACGGTGGTGGACCAGAGTACGCAAAGACATGGAGAAACTCGGCTGGGTCGAGTCAGTGACGGAGCCGTGCCTCTGGTGCTTAAGAGATTCCGAAGGCCGTCTCGTCGGCATCGCAGTCGCGCACGTGGACGACTTCATGATTGCGATTAATAATGGCTCTCATGCCGCAATAGACGCACTTCAAGAACTACATGGCGCTTACGAGTGGGGTAGCTGGGAGACTCGAGACTTCGTTCAGTGTGGGACTCGGATTCGGCAAGAATACGAGGGTCGTACTAAGAGCTGGGGTCGCATCCATCTGAACATGGTCGACTACGCGCAGGAGTTGAAGGAGATCGACATATCCTCTCAACGTCGGAAGGATCCAGAAGCTGGAGTAACACCAGGGGAGGCTTCTCATCGACGCGCAGTTCTGGGACAACTGATGTGGCTATCCACTCAAGGCGTTCCACTCATCAGCGCCGAGTTGTCCTTGCTACTAGCCTGCACGAACACGGCGACGATCAACGCCCTGATGCAGGCGAACAAGCTGGTCAGGAGAGCGAGAATGGAAGCTGTCAAGGAGCTGATCATGGAGAAGCACATCAATCCGTGTCTGGTGGGGTATTCAGACGCAGCTTGGAATGCACGCAGAGATGGATCCTCGCAAGGAGGCTTTCTGATCTTTATGACGGACCAGGCGCTGCTGCAGAATAAAGAGGCGCCGATTTCACTGATTTCATGGGCATCAGCAAAGCTGCCCAGGGTATGTCGAAGCTCAAGCGCAGCGGAAGTTCAAGCAGCCAGCGAAGCTCAAGAGGAGCTGGAGTTCTGCCGCCTCCTGCTGAGTGAGATTCTCATTGGTCCAGTGCCTCTGAAGCAGTGGGCACAAGGATGTGCTCGCATTCCCGGAGCGCTGGTATTAGACTGCCGTGGAGTATTCGACGCGCTGGACAGGTCGGAGAGCAGCGCGCTGGGTATGAAGGACAAAAGGAGCGCGCTGGAGGCTTTGGCTCTGAAGAGAGGTATGGCAGTTACTGCGACATCCCTACGCTGGTGTCATAGTGGCGCTCAGCTCAGCGACTGCATGACGAAGAACGCGGAGAAGGCCCGAGCGAGCTACAATCTCTGGCAGCAACGAGGTACCTGGAAGCTGATCTACGATTCTAACTTCATTTCCGAGAAGCATCGGAAACAGAAGGGTTTGGACACGCTCGAGACGGGCTTTGCAGTGGATGCAGATGATGCGTGGCAGCTCTTCCCAGACTACATGGAGATCGAGGATACTGACCTGGACATTGTGAGTGACTTTCGTCACCCTGGAATGCGACAGCAGATGATGCAGGACGCGACGCCTCAATGACGAGGCGGAGGTTCACTGTACCAGGTCAAGTTAGGCATAATGAACCCTCTGAGCTATGTGGACAGACAGGCGAGGATTCACAGACGGTTCGGGGCATGTCCCAGGGAGCCCCAGTGAGACCCCGGTGCGCCCTTGTCTAGGCCCTGCCTAGGCCGCCTGTCCGCAGCCATTCTGGCGCGAAGCCAGACTGGAGCCAGTCTGGTGAGTTCTTAGAAACTCGGTCCGAAGCTCAGGGGGACCGTACACGTACGCTTGGATTGTTTGGAATAAGATTGCTTCTCGCTGTCTCTCTTGTGTTGCAATCATTTGATTGGAGTTGGGTATATCAGAGCTCTCTCGAGCTGGAACCCCGCCATATATCAAGATATATTTCATCAGATGTTGCGGGGACATCTCGAAACGAAAGGCTGAGATCCGTGGACAACACGCTCCACTGACAGAGGGGGGGGAGGGGGGGGGGGGGGGGGGGTTTTGCCGGGGGAGGGGGGGGGGGGCGTGGGGTCCAGCAGGGGGGGGGGATTTTCGGAGGAGGGGGGGGGCGACCCCCGGGCTCCGGAGGAAAAGGTTGGCAATTTTCAACAGTAAAGCGGCGGTGGATCACGCTCTCTCTCTCTCTCTCATGTCGGAGCACACGTGTTGGAGCCACTGGTCTTCGCAAACCTGTCGGAGCCATGCTGGGGGGTCCATATGAAACGCAAGTGCAACCAAGCCCTTGAGAGTATCTGAAGCAAAGTGTACCAGACGCCCAGATACACGTAGACGGTGGATGCGCAATTGCGTATCAATATCTGCCCTATGGACCGTGCTCAATACTTGCGCATCCGTGCATGTGCTGTCGTCGTATTTCGTATTTCGGAAGGTTGGCGGCAGCCCTGTATTTAGACATGATACTGGTTGAGAGCGTGCGCGGCTGTGATGATGTGACCAGTAAGTCCAACAAACGGAACTCAAATTTCTGGTCCTCTTTTGCTCTGCCCATGGCGTAGTATACGCGCCGGCGCAGAGGGTGCCACGCAGCTGCACTTGCACGATGTCTGTGAGATTTTTCTGGACCAAGAGAGGCTCTCTCGTCTAAGATGGTACGGGCCGTGAAACCCCCGCTCGTTCCAACGCCCCATCCTCCCCTGCAGTTTATCCACGATGTTATGCATAGCAGTTGGGGGTAGTTTAGCTGCTTGCAATACTTGCGCCAGCTCATCGTACGTGAGACTTGTTGCCACGACCAATTGTCGGATGGCTTTGTAGAACGCTTGTACAGCGTCCACCATGGGAAATATTGCTGATTGCTGCTTGCCTGAGGCTATGTTCTGGAAGCTGCGCAAGGTCAAGGAGGCTGCGAGGTCCATTCCCCGACCAGAAATGCCTCCATATTGTATGTCACCGACGGTGTGTGGAAGGGCCAGCGCAATAGGCGTACGGAGCAACGTACGATATCTGTTGCCGAGGTGCGGTGATACCATAATTGAGCGTGAGTGAGCAGGAATAGCTGGGTCAGCCGCTCCTTTCCAGATGTCCCAACAACATCCTCCCCTCCATTGGCTAGGCTCCTCCAGTCTAACACACGCCTTGAGCACTACAGGATAGTAAAGAGCGCCCAATACCGTCCCGACGTGTCTCACGAGCCCTCCTCGCATGCCGTCCAGGCTAGCGGCTGAGGCCCTCGCCGTGCAGCACGCTGTCTGATACGAATTGAGGGGGGGAAGGACGGCATCCTGCGAGGGAATGTTGTTTATGAGAGAGGTCGGGAGGTCGGCGAAGTTTTCCAAAACCTCTTGTGCTTGCGCAAGGGGAACAACTGCACTGAGCTCTTCGTGCGCGAAGTGCTCTAGCCAAATGTTGGCAGCCTCTGTGGTGGTCTGAGCAGGCTGCCCGTTCACTCCCTTGACGATGGGTGTCGGACATGTCGTTCTTTCCTTCTTGGAGCAGGCACCTAGTCCTCTGAGCTTGCGGAGAGCTTTATTGTGTTGGTGAGTCGGCCATTCGGACCTGATGTCCGCTGCAAGCTGTCTGTAGTGTAGTAAAGCATCCCTACGCGTGCACCCGTATCTGATACGCCGTGTGAGCCGCCAAGAGATCCCTAATGGCAGAGGAGGCCCTTCGTAGTATTTGAATAGTGCGCATGGCCACTCTTGGCATGTCCCTTCGAGTGGCCGTAGTCGGTAGTATCTTTCGGTCATCCGCAAACAAGACCATGCACCCTTGAGGGTACTTCCTATGATGAGCCCATTTGGAGGTCTTTCTGGAGTCCTTAACAGTGTGGTTGTGATCGTGGGCCTCTGAGGGAGGAGGGGGAGGGAGGAGGAGCAGGAAGGTAAGAGCGTGAACGTTCGAGGAAGTCCTAGGCGAAAGCGCCGTTCTTGAAGGAAGTCTCGGGCGGGAGCCCAAGACGTGCGGGCGATCCCCTGACGGGCGGGTCGGGCGGGTGGGACATTCAAGCAGGATGCCTGAGTATGGCGAGAGCGGGATCACTAAGTAAATGGTAACGGCGTCCTTGGCGCAGCGTGTTCCTTGAGCGTCGAACGCGCGATTTCTGAATACATTACATGGAAGTCGCAGGCGAGAGCGCAATTCTTGAATAACATGTGAGGGCTTCTTTGGCGGGAGCGGGGGTCTTGATTCAATTGCGAGGAAGTCTTGGTTCAATTGCGAAGAAGTCTCAAGAGGGAGCGCCATTCCTGAGTAAATTATGAGAAAGTCTCAGATGTGAGCGGGGGTCATGACTAAATTGCGAGGAGGTCACAAGCGGGAGCACCGATCCTGAGTAAATTGTGAGGAAGTCTCAGGAGCGGGGGTCCTGAGTAAATTTGGAGGAAGTATCAGGCGGGAGCCGTTGTTGTTGTTGTTGTTGTTGTTGTTGTTGTTGTAATCCGGGGGGCCAGAGGCCCAGTTTGAGCACGACGATGTTTCTTTTCAAAAAAACAAGGTGCGAGCGTCGAGGGGCACACTTTGATTGAGAAATTCAGTATGCACCTGTGAGGGGGGATCAACAATAATTATTCTTCAGACGTGAGGGTTCAACGACCACCGCGACGGCGACGGCGGTGATGACGATAGGCCCTCGGTTCCTCAGGATGTCGGCGAGTGGATCGGCGCCCCCGCTGGCGGCGGCTTCAACTTCTCGCCGAACGTGCGCACTGTTCCCCTCGAAATGGCGCTTCCCCCCTGCGCTAGATGTGGCCGCGGCGGCGACGAGGTGGCGACTTCTCGAGGTGGAGTGTCTCGCCTTTGTTTGGGGCTCCAGGCAGTCCCCTCGTACCAGGCGCTGGGCGTGGCTCGAAAGATTGCTCGGCATGGTGTCTGGCTCGCGGCGGCAACGCCTCGCATGAAGTGCTTGGTCTTTTGGGCGCTTCGGTGTGCCCCTCGCCGCCACGGTCGAACGCGGCTCGAAAATCTGGTCGGGATGGCGTCCCAGAAAGGTCCAGCGATCGATTTCGAGTGAGAACCTGCCCTCGGCAGGCTCGCGCTGTAGCGACGATGCTGCGACGCTGACGCTGGTGTTCAAGGTTCCGCGCCCGATGTTCGGCCCCAGGGACCATTTAACGTATCCCACGTCACGAACACCGTACGAAAGATGTTGTAGAGAGCTTCTGGGTCCCGAGATCGTTCAGGGTGGAGCGGCTCATGCAGGCCTAGAACCCAGGGCCCTCGTCGACACGGCAGGACATTGCCGCACGTAGGTCTTGTGTCAGTTTTGCCCTAAGTTTGGCAGGGTTATGAACGCTGAGCTCTGTTTGACAATCTGCCCTGCTTGTGGCAAACCCCATCAACGTGCCTAGCGCAGCATCGAAGCGTATTCATGATTATACCGAGCTTCCTGAAAGCCCGAATTTCCTCTAGGGCCACGCGAAGGCCTGGCCCCCTTCTTCCTGGACCTCCTCATCCCGCCTCGTCCCCGTTCGTCCCCCTCGCCGTCTTGGTCTTCCTCAACCTCATCCTCCTCTTCGTAATCCTCCGCGGCCTCGTCATCCCCTTTCCGGAGCGAGGAGTTCCGGGCGGAAGTTCATTGTTCCCAACCCTTGTGGAGTTGGGTTTTCGTTTTGAAGAGACAGTGCCGCCCGTCTCCTCTTCTCCTGTTCTCCCCCCTCCTCCCTCTCCTTCCTTCTGCTCGCCGCATCACTCTACCAGTTCGGTACACTCCTCACTTGCCTCGTGGCCCCATGGGGAGCTCCACCGAAGGCCCCAGTGGCGCAGTTCGCATGCGGTCCCGCACCAAAGTCGGCACACCCCACATACGCTTCGTGGCCACATGGGGAGCTCCAGCGAAGGTCCCAGTGGGACAGTTCGCACGCCGTCCCGCACCCATTTCGACGCAACCCACACACACGTTTCGTGGCCCCATGGGGAGTTCCACCGAAGGCCCCAGTGGCGAAGTTCGCATGGCGGTCCCGCAACCATTTCGGCGCACCCCTCACACGTTTCGTAGCCCCCATACGGAGCTCCACCGAAGGTCCCAGTGGCGCAGTTCGCATGCGGTCCCCGCCACCCATGTCGGCATACCCCTCACACGCTGCGTGGCCCCATGGGGTGCTCCACAGAAGGTCCCAGCGGCGCAGTTCGCATGCGGTCCCGCACCCATGTCGGCACACCCCTCACATTTCGGCACACCCTTCACATGTTTCGTGGCCCCCATCAGGAGCTCCACCGAAGGTTCCAGTGGCGCAGTTCGCATGCGATCCCGCATCCATTTCGGCACACCCCTCACACTCTTCGTGGTCCCATATAGGGGCTCCGCCGAAGGTCCCTGTTGTTCGAGTGTGGTGAAGGCTCTGACGTCTTACCTCGGAAATGAATGGTGCCGCGGTCCCGAGGGCGCCCCCGGGTGCAGTGGACGAACTACATGCACGCAAAGGCTCTCGTGGTGGCAGGTGGCAGCTCGGATGTACTACAAGCACTACTGGTAAGTAGAGCACAGTGGAATGAGGCAGTAGAGCGACATTGTGTACAATAGTATGACAGTATGACAGATTCTTGTGTCCTCCTCGTCGTCCTCCCCTCCCCCTCTCCCTCTCCCCTCCCCCCTCCCTCGCGTTGCATGCTGTGTTCCTTTCAGCGGATCACCAGCACAAAGTTTCTGATGCTTGCACACTTTCTCGCCCTGCATGCTGCATGCGTTTTTGCCAGTTTCCAGGCATATGTGAGTTCGTTGTTTTTTGCTGTGCCAATGCGCCGTCTAGGTGCGGCTTCGTGTATGTGTGTGTGTGTGGGTGTGTCTGTGTGTCTGTGTGTCTGTGTGTCTGTGTGTGTGTGCGAAGGTCCCAGCAGCGCAGTTCGCATGCCTCCACCCCACCAATGTCGATGAATCCCTCATACTTTTTTCGAGGCCCCATAGTGAGCTCCACCGAAGGTCCCAGTGGGGCAGTTTGCATGAGTCCCCGCCACGTATTTCTACACACCCTTCATATGCTTGGTGGCCCCCATAGGGAGCTCCACCGAAGGTCCCAGTGGCGCAGTTCGCATGCGCCCCCGCCACTCATTTCGGTACACCCCTCCCACTTTTCGTGGCCCAACACGGAGCTGCACGACAGGTCCCAGGAGTGAAGCCTGCATGCGTCCCCGCCACGTATGTCGGCACGCCACGCCCCCTACACGTCTCGTGGCTTCATAGGAAGTTCCACCGAAGCTCCCAGTGGCGCAGCCCGCATGCGTCTCCCCCAGTACAGCGCTCCGTGGCCCCATGGGAAGCTCCATCGAAGGCCCCAGTGGCCGCGGCCGCACGCGCCCCCTCCATCCAAGTCGGCACCCCGCTTAAACGTTCCGTGGCCCCATATGGAGCTCCACCGAAGGCCCCAGTGGCAGTGCTCGCATGCGGTCCCCGCACCCATTCCGGCACACCCCTGACACGTTGCGTGGCCACATAGGGAGTTTCACCGAAGACGATACACACAATTGCGTTATTCACAATTGCATATGATTTGGTCCTTCGCCAGGCATTTGTTTCCCGAAGCTCGGCGTCATCTTTTCCCACGCCCATTCAAGGGACCACTATTGTGCAGTCCTCTTGGCTTTTGCACGCGACCACTCTTTCGTCCTCTCTCTGGGCGGACGAGGTGCCTGCCTCCATTTTTTGGGTTCGCCGTTCGATTGCCTTCCTGGGATGTAGACGTGTTCAGACATGTCCCTCCCAGAGTCCGCGCCAGGTGATTCAGGGTTTTGACATCCACCACCGCGCGACCCGCCTGTTGGCGATGAGCCGGCCAGCCGAGGGGGGGGGCTTCCAATGTCCTGCACTTTTATTGCGCTACTCCTCGCTCCCCCTCGTCGTCCTTCGTCTTCTTTCCTCTTCCTTCCCCCCTGCGTCTGCTCTTCCTCCCCCTCTCCTCATCCGCCCTTTCATCCCGCCTCCTCCTTATCCTTTTCCGCGTGCTGCTGATAATCCTGCTTCTCCTGCAGCTGCTGCTTCGCTTGCCCGTGCCGCAAAGCAGCCACAAAGCATTCCTGCTCTTCCTTCCTCGCCCCTTCTGTAGTCGTCGTCTTTCTCTTGTTCTACCTCCAAGCATCTGAAGGGGTTCGTCCTCTGCCGCTGCCCCCCTCGTTTGATTGACTGCATGGCTGGTTTCACTGGGTTGGTTGGGTTCGATGAGCGGCTGATCTGTTCGCAGGTCGGCAACTCGGCCGCTTGGCTCGCACGTTGGCTGTCTGCTTAGCTTGCTGGCTTGCCTGCCGGTCGGCGGATTCGGTGCAGGTAAAGTGAGCAGAAGAGCACGATTGTCACGATATTGAATTCAGAAGAATGCATCGTTACATTGATGGAGAAATCTACGTTGCCCAATTGCTAGAGCCTATCCCTGGCAGCCTGATGACTCCCTCAAGGGGGGCTGGCGGAGTCCTCCTCCCCTCCTGGTTTCACAGGCCAAGTTAGCGGAATAGGGGAAGGATAAAGGTGAGGAGCATGACGATGAAGAGAAGAGGGGACGGGTGGGGAAGAGCACAAAGAGGACATGAAAAGGATAGCAAGGAGGAGGATGGAGTGGAGACTATGTTTGGAGGGGACGGCTTGGGAGAAATGAGTCTTCGGGGGGTGGCTTCTGTGCCCCTGGGGAGGCAAACCTCCGCGGCTGAGCAACGCGGTCTCGGGCCCTTGCGCAAATGCTCGCGTTATTAACATTGCGAGGGAAACCGTGTGAGGTCACGCCATGCGGCCCCTTCCCGACGGAATCATTTCAGAACCCTTCGCTGACGGACAGCACGGGTTGGCCGAATGCAACAGGAAGGATGGGGTTCAAACGTTGCGGTTTCAACACGAGACGTTCGAGCAATTGCAACAGTTTCATACACACACATCTATACGAGCATTGGTGTATACACACATACATAGTTATGCATGCATGCGTGCATGTGTATATATATATACACATACATATATACATACAGGTATAGACTGCGATCTGACCCATCAGCCAACATGCCATTCAGGGATCGCGAAACACCCCCCACCACAATGCAACGCGATGGGGTTGTATTGGAACCTTTCAGCCAAATGGCACACTGTGGGATCGCACAGCGACCTACAAGTGAAACGATGAATTGGGGGTCGCTATGCGACCCTAGCAAAAAGGCAACGAGATAGATCACAATGTGGCCCTTTACAGCCATCAGCGTACTGTTGGGTCACGATGCGACCCATCAACAAGAAGGCAAGCCAGGGATCTCGATACGACCCCAGTAAAAAGGTAACGTCATGGGATTACATTGTGACCCTCCAGCCAAGCGGCGCACCGTGGGATCGCACTGGGACCCACAAGCGAAACGATGAACCGGGACCGCGCTGCGACCCTAGCCAAAAGGCAGTTTGATCGGACGACAATGCGACCTTTCAGCAAAGCGGCACAACGAGGGATCGCTATGCCATCGGCTAACAGGCGAACCAGGGGTCGCGACACGACCCCAACCAACAAAGCAACGTCATGGACTCACAGTGTGGCCCATCATTCGCATAGACGCCCCTGGGACCACGATGTGGCCCTACCCACCTAGGGACCACAATGTGGCCCAGCCCATTTTTTTGGATTGCGCGTCTGATTCGCCTGGCGACGGTCAGAGAAAGACGGCGCTGCAACTAGCAGAATATTT